TTTAAAGTGACTTCCCTCCTCATTTGCTTCAGAATTCTCCTCTTCTCTTCTCACTCGGACGGAAACCTCCATCCTTCTCACACTCAATTCGTGCTTTTCTGAAGCACTCATTCCAAAATTGATTCAACCAAAAACTTCTTCTGATCATTGCGAGTTCAATTTTCGGATCTTTTCACCAAATCTCATCACATTTCTAAAGATTCCAAATTTCCCTCAAAACCCTACTTTCTCATAATCGCTCTGCTCAATCATCTTCAAAGCTCTTCTTTAACCCAAAATTCTTGTGTGAGTCACTCCATACCACTGTGTGCATCATTCGCATCATACTTTTCACACAATGGTGAATCTAAGAGGAGGAAAAGTCCCTGCCGGACGCAAGCACACACTCAGGGATGAAGATGTGGATTCTCCTAGGGTCATAAGATCATCCAAACGCTTCAAAAGGGGAGCAGTAAAGACTCAAACTTCCCGGCCTTCCGCTCAGCCTGAATCCGGACAAGGAACTTCATCTCAATAGCCTTCCCAATCAGCCACCGTCTCCCCATTCTTTGATGCTGCTGCCAAAGAAAAATATTCCTTGATAACCCAAAAAGGTTTCATTCCTCAACGAACCATAAATTTTTCTGAATTCCGCAAGATTGGTTTAGAGTCAATTCTTAATCTCTTTGAATTCCAGAAATGATCACACATCATTTCCATGCCTAACGTTTATTACCCTAAAATGCTATATCAATTCTTTGCCAATCTTAGGAAAGGCACAGACCACACTGAAATTATGTCCAGGGTAAATGGAGTAGACTTAGTGTTTGATCCTGAGATTGTGAATTCTGTTTTAAATACTGCTATTGAACGTGGATGCAAAAGTAAAATTGTAAATTTCTTTTCTTATGAAGAGCATCCCACTGCTGATAATCACTTTGATGGTGCTAAGATGCTGTCTTATTTTAAAAAGAAGTTTTCTGCCCCTGCTGATGCAAAACTAAATGACCTTACTCCTGTGAATCTCATTGCTTTCTCAATCATTTCAAATTTGCTTGTGCCTACGGATGGTCATAGGACAGATGCAAATAAAATGGAGTTGTATCTTTTTTATTGTTTTCGAGAAAAAATTCGCATTGACTTTGGTTTTGTCATGTGCAAGTTTTTATTTCGCTATGCACTGATTCTCGTAGAAAACTGTTCTATGGCAAATTTCTTCAGAAAATTTTTAAGTTTTACAAAGTACCCATCCTTGGTGTTTGTCCCAAAGAAACGTCTTCTTCTGCCTTTACTAAGGCTTATTTTGAGCGCAAAAATCTTGTTTTTGTGGATAATTTGTGGGCGTATAAGGGGGCCACTTCTAATGAACCTAGATCTAAGACTGCACATGATCCACTTCACACTCCATCCTCTGTTGCACTGACCTCTATTCATTTAGGAAGACTGCCACTAAGGCATCTTCTTCTTCAAATTCTGAGGTGATTGAGCTCTTTCGAGACCTTAAGCAACATGTTCTGCTTCTTGAACATGGTCTCATGCTCACCATGTCATCCCAGCAACAAGCTGACTTCCTAGATAAAAAGAGTCGTCTTTTTCCCCCACCTGTGGTTGAGGAAGTCCCTCCTGGCAAGGAGCCACGCTCCAATGATCCATGCTCATCAGCCTCTGTTCGCTCTATGAGTCCTACTCCTATCGACCTCACCTCTACTCCTGTGGCATCACATGATCCTTCCACATCTGATAAAGGCAAGAAACCAGTTGGTGAAGTTGCTGAAGATGATGAAAACACTGAGGAGAAGGATCTCTCTTAGTATCAGCTTACTCGAAGAACGCCTGGATCCTCTTAGCTTATCATTTAGGATCACTAGTCCTATTAGAATCATTTGCATTATGTTTGACTGTTTTTATTTGCTGAATGTTAGATAGTTGCCTTGAACTCTTTTTTATCTATTGAATTCTGGTGCTTGGTGTCATTTGGTGTTTTGTAATGTCCAAAACTGGACATATGTTTGTAATGTTTGTGAATGGTTGAATCTTTACATTTTGCTTGGTTGAATGGTTGGAAATATGGATGTAATGCTCGTAAGATCATTTTGCTCTGAATGGTTGGATATATGGTCGAATCTTTGTTACTAGTTCTCTAAATGCATCTTTACATTTTGAATTTTGTGATGACAAAAAGGGGGAGAGATGGTGTAGATATGAATACGGATAATATGGATAATAAGTAGCCAAGTGAGGGGGAGTTTTTAAGCTTTTGTTCTATGATTGACTAAGAAAGGGGGAGCCTATTTGTAATCATCAAATTTCATTTCAAACTATTGTTTTGTCATCATCAAAAAGGGGGAGAATGTTATTTTTTATTTTGATGATCACAAAGCATTTTGAAATGTTTTTCTAATTCTTTTCAAATATAAGTGTTTTGCTTTTAAGAGAATCAGGTACAAAGGTGTCAAGGAAAGAAAATCAACCAAAAGAAGAAGCAAAAATAGGGCACTTATGTCGGACGTCCTAAAGAGAAGCTGTCGGACTTCCGAAAGAATGAAGAACATCAAGGAGGAAACTCTGTCGAACGCTCGTAAGGAAGCATCGAACGTCCGGAGGATCGGACGCACGCTTCGGACACACATCGATCGAATCGGGCGTCCGAGAAATTTTGCAAAGTTTTTGATGACTCTCTGACGACGTTCGGACGCAGATGCTGTCGGACGATAATATCCCATCGGATGTCCGAAGGACAACTTGGCTGATTTTCGGACGATGGGATCGGACGGTGATTCATCTGTCGGACGTCCGACGGCCCAACGGCTAGCTGACTCTTCATCTGCCTTATCCGTTGGAAGCATTATTGAATCCATTTTTGGTCCCCTTTAAATACAAACGATTCTGAACCAGTGACAGACTTTTGCACACTTTGTTTACAAGATCTCAAGAGATATTTTAGTTAGGAAATAGTCTCCCAAGCAAGATTTGTTCTCCAAGTTGTGTGAATTTCTTGTAAGCTCTTCTTTGTGTTTGAAATTTTCAATAGTGTAGCTTTGTTGAGGGTTCTGAGTGATAGTAAAACTTTTTAATTGACTAAATGAGGCTTGGGGCAAGGAGGAAGTAATCCCTCCATTGTACATTGAGTTGATTTTGTTCTTCAAGAGAAAGTGCTCATCTTTGTGATTGGTCTTCAAGTTTGAGGAAGCTTGGTAGACAATCGGTTTGATACTCTATCTTATTCTTTTTATTTATAAAATTCTCATTGCTTATATACTCTCTATTTCTGATCAACATTGTTCTCTTCTTTAAATTTACTTGGTTGATCACTACTAGAAAAGAAGGTAAATTTTTATTAAAGAAAAAGTGCATAAACTCAATTAAGATTTTTTAATCAACCTAATATACCCCCTCTTAGGTTGTCTTTGGGCCTTACAATTCTCATAAGTGGAAGATACTTGGTATCTTGGTTCCAGACTATAGGATTTATTTAATTTTTCTTTTTTAATTCCATTTTCATTGGGAGAAAATGGCCAAAATGATCTTGTAGGGTACAATTTTTTTTTAGTCATAGTTTGGGTGTGATGAACTTTTTGTATTAATCAGGACACTTGACTCATAGGCTAATTGAAAATTTTTAAAATAATTCTCCATCTTTCTTGCTATTATTATTATTAGTATTTTTGGATTTGATCATAAACTTTTAATCCAAAAATACTCTTCCTATTATCTACTCATTTTTGCAACAACAAATCAGATAAACAGGTCTAGTCGACAACGAATGCTTGATCCATACTAATTATGCTTTTAGCCAACTTAATTTGTTTTCAAAAGGAAAAAAAACAACTTAATTGGGCTTTAGCCACATGAGGTGTTCAAATAAAGTCCATGTATTAGTTGGACTGTTGAGACTCAACTTGAGAGGCACCACATGTCCAGCAGTAGTTGGCAAATTATGTTATTCACTAATTGCAGGATGTCATCTTTGCCAAGTAATCCAACAGGACCTAGTAGCATAGCTAATGAGAATGAGATTGCCATTTTGGATTCGGAAGAGAAGGATGTGAAGGAAGATGATTCATGTAAGAAACTTAGGGAAAAGAAATTAACATCTAAAGTATGGTTTGATATGGATAGAGTTGGGACTGCTACTGGTATTGTTGCTATATATAAGCATTGCAAAAAAAAATGGCAGGGGATAGCTCATGTGGGACAAGCCACTTGAAAAAACACATAAATAATTGCATTGCTAAAGAACATAGGAGTAGAGGGCAGCAAGTACTTCAACTGGCTAAAAATGCTTTGGATGATAAAGTTAAAGTTGAAACTTTCAAGTTTGATCAAGAGAGAAGTAGAATGGATTTGGCTAGAGCTATCATAAAACACTACTATCCTTTTAACATAGTTGAGCATGAGTACCTTGAGATTTTCTGAATAATTTGGAGCCAAATTTTAAGCTGGTTTCTCAAATACAGCTAGGGTAGATGTGATTAGTGTTTATAAAGAAGAAAAAGGAAAAATTGTATAAGTATTTGGATGATTTTAATGGTAAGATAAGTCTCACTACTGATATTTGGACATCAGATCACCAAAATTTTGCCTATACTTGTTTGATAGCACATTATGTCAATGAACATTGGGAATTGAAAAAGAAAATTCTTGCTTTTAAATCTGTTCCATATCCTCGTGATGGTGAAACATTATTTAGATTTATTTATGATATCATCTTGGAATGGAACATTGATAAGAAGCTGACCTCTGTTGTTGTTGACAATGCATCTTCAAATGATTCAATGGTTAAATATTTGAAATCATGGTTATTGGATAAGTCATTACTCAATTTAGGAGGTGATCTTTTTCATATTTGATGTAGTGCACATATTCTTAATTTGATTGTGTAAGATAGGTTAGCTATTGTTGAAAAATTGCTTCATAAGATTCGAGAGACCTTAAAGTACTTGAAAAAATCTTCTCCTTCTTATCAAAAGTTTGAGAATGCAATTAATCAATGCAAGCTGAAAAATTAAAAAAGAGTGGGTATGGATGTTCAAAATAGATGGAATTCTACATTCTTGATACTTGAGACTGCTTTGCCTTTGAAAGATGCTTTTTGTCGTTTAGAACAAATGGACAGAAATTACAAGCTCAACCCTTCAAAAAATGATTGGAAAGTGGCTAGTGTTGTTCATGGTTGTTTGAAAAAATTTTATGAAGCCACATGTCATTTTAGTGGTTCTAATTTTCCCACAGCAAATGTTTTCTTTCCCGATATATGGAATCTTCGTCTTAAGATGAGGCAATGGGAAGTTAGTGAGCATGATTTTATTCGAGAAATGGCTATTCCAATGAAAACAAAATTTGATAAATATTGGGAAGAATGTTCATTGGTGCTGGCTATTGCTGTGGTACTTGATCCTAGATTTAAGTTGGCTTTAGTAGAGTATTATTACAATGCTCTTTATGGAGAAGGTGGTGAAAGATATATGGATAGAGTTCGTAATGCTATTGCTAATTTGTTTGTTGAATATGGAGGTGACCTTGCTCCTTTTTTGAGTTATGTTGGAGATAATATAGGAGAAGGGACTTCTAGTTCAGGTAACAAAAATATAGATGGACAAGATGATGATGATAAGTTGTCTGATTTTGACAAATGGTATCAGCAATCAAGTTCTTCTACTATTCTTGCTAGCCAAAAATCTGAATTGCAATCATACTTGGACGAGCCTGTATTTCCAAGAAAAGATGATTTTGACATACTAGGTTGGTGGAAGGCAAAAAGTCCAAAATTTCTTATTCTTAGCAAGATGGCTCGTGATATTCTTGCAATTCTAGCTACTACTGTGGCATCAGAATTAGCATTTAGCATTGGCGGAAGGGTAATTGATGAGACTCGTGCTTCTTTGCTTCCTGATATGGTCAAAGCTTTGATAACAACTGGAGATTGGTTACCTTTGAAAAAGAAAAGAAGTAAGTTCTTCATGTTTATGTTTCTTTTGTTGTTTTTTCTTTTTAAATCCATATTACAAGTTTGTTTGGTTGAGTTACTCTAGTAAAACTAATCTACTTTCCTTCTCTTTGTTTTCTTAGAGTTATTTGGAGAAGATTTGAGTGATTCTTCTAAAGTTCTCAAGTTAGGGTGATCTATTTGAGCAAGGCCAATTTGATTTCTTTTCTTATTTGTTTTTTTTTTGTATTAGTTAGTAATTAGTTTACAAATATATTTTATCCTTGTTTTTGTTGCAGAAAATTGTGAAACTTGAGAGCTATGAAGACTATTGTAATCTACAAGGCAGTAGGACTTAATTTGTTGGTTGATGTATTTGATATTTAATGTTTGATTGGACTTTTTAGAAATTATAATTTGTTGGATGTCATATTGGCTTTGTTGCTAATATATGATTTTGTAGTTTGTAGATTGATTTGTGGTTGGCTTTAGAATGGCTATTGTGAGTGGTTTGTGATTTAGATTTGTAATTTGTGACCGGCTTTGAATAACTTTGTAATTTACTGCAAAACACCTTCCATTTGTAATTTTCGGCAAGAAAAGTTTGATTCTGCTTCTTCAGCAAATTAACTAACTTCCCTGATTTCGCAATGGCTTGTGCGCCACCAAGTCCTCCCTCAATATGTACAAAATGTTATAAAAATCAGACTACAATTTCAGGTGCTAAAGTTGTAGCAAAAACAAGCTTGTGATGGGCCTTTTTCCAGGTAGGCCCGACCTCGATTAGGGACCCGTCGGGTGCCGGTCCGAGAGAAAGATTAGGAGATCCGTCGGATATTTGGGCTGGATCCGAAACTAATACAGTATGACAGGCCCGGGTCTGGATTTATTAATTCAAGCCTAGGGAGTGTCAGAGACGACGACCGAAGAGATTTTGCTGCCCCTCCACAACGTCGCATGATCATGGTAAGAGCAAGGGCAACAGGCGCCCTAAGCATTGACTTTGTTATTTGTTTTATGTGTTAGGTAGTCATCATTTGAATGGTACTTTCCTTATTTATAAATTTCATCATTTTACAATTTTGTATTTTGTTTCTAAATCCTAATTACTTAAACCCTAAACCCTAAACCCTAAACACAAAATTGCAATCCTGCCTAAATCCTAAACCCTAAACATTAGGTCACTTGTTATTCGAAACTTAATATCAACTCAATAGCTATAAACACAAATATACTCTATTACAAACATGAATTAATGAACAATATTCATTTTCAATATTTATAAATATTATTTATAAGACTTTAATAATTAATATGCAATTACAATATTTATGAAGTGCTTTTTATCTGTTTGGTAGCTGAAAAGAAAAACAAAAAAAAAATCTAAAGCGATAATCAAGATAGATTTCTTATTCTGCATCCATTGGTATCTAATCTAATAGTACATGACATCTCTTTTGCTTCATACCCAACAAAAAAAAATTAAAAATCTCGATACGATGTTGTTTAAATTGTAAATTTTAAATCCTATCTGTTGATTTAAAAACCTCCAAACCCTATCCCTTATCTATTGCTCAACCAAAAGGGGATATTCTGTAACAATGTAATGTATATAAAGTAAACAGATGATTAACACAAATGTTCAAAAAAATATATAATTTCTTTTGTTAAATAATTATTGTAGACTATATTTAATAAAATATGCTAAGTGAGTAATGTAAGAAATTTAACTTTTAAGATGTTACTAAAATTGATGAGTCTTTATTTACAATAAATTAATAATAGTTTGTCTAATTTTTCATTTCGCGCTAATGATGTTAACTTTGTATGTTTCATACACGCGCTATGGCTCATTAGTCTTCCAACAAATATGATATTCAAACAAATTTTTAATTTTTATGTCGGATCAAAAAATCGTTATTTTATTAAAAAAGTTCACTTCAAGTTAGAGATATTTCATCTGACTCTCCAAAAAAAAATATCCGCTACCGTGTACAGTCAGCACGGTAGTGGACAAGCACTGAAAACAAATTTCAGTCGTTGTTTTCCACGGCTAGGGTGACTCATTTTTTAGTCAGCACGGTAGCAGGCTCGATTTAAAAAAAAAAAAAAAATTGGCCGCAAGTTGCGGTGCACAGTCAGCATGGTAGCCTGCAGCGATTAAAAAAAATATTTGCTGCCGTGCTGACTAGGCACTACAGCTATAGTTTTGTACAATGGGTCTGTCAGACATACATTTGACGGACTTTTTTTTGGATATATTCTAAGAAATTACCCATTATCAATGAGATGGAGAGTAAATTATTGGAAGAATAGTAGATGTTCAAGCAACTATGGTGAGTTGAAGACATGTTCTGAGGAGTAAAGAGAGCTGAAAGCTTAGTTTGGCTTGGAACATTTGATCAGAGCATCTTCTTATGAGTATGTGGCTTGTCTAGCCTAGGTTGGTTTTTTTGGTTTGTTTGTTTAGAGTAGCCATTTTTATATACTGGAGCTTGATTACCTACATGATAGTAATCTTGGGCACGAACTGATGTGTCTGTTTACATACTTTATCAATAAAAATATGTTTTGGTTAGAAAAAAAATAGAACATTAATCGCGTATGCTATCAAACACCTACATCATCAAAGAATCTACATAAAAAAAGAAAAAAAATTAGGCATTTTGGTTTTGTATTCCATTTTACCTTTTCTGTTTCCGAATTCCCTTTAATTGTATACTCTAATATAAATCAATAATTAAGGAAACTTTAATGTATTTTAGTGGGTCAAGGGAGATTAGTATAATATTTAATACGTCAACAAAGCTTAGTGAGATTGTCAGATATCTCAAGAGAAATTTGCAAAATCATTCCATTGGTCTATGTAAAAGCAAACACAATTTGTAAAGGGGAAAAAAGTGCATAGACACACTCTTCTCCATAGCCATCTAACTCTACTCCAGTATGCTAATTTATTAATCCTTCTAGTTGATGAGAATAAGCCATCGCATAATTTGTCAATATTGGAATAGTTTTAATCATATTCATGTCATACAGCTGAACTATAGTTATGTGGATGATGAAACCTTTTTTTAATTAAACTGGATATTTACTCAATTTCTTCTCTACATTTTGTGACTGGTGAAAATACAATAGGGCATTGAATTGTTACAATAAGCTATTGAGCTTTCTTATGGACATATAATGGAAGCAATTGTATGATTTGTAGTAGAAAAATTAGAACAAGATGGCGAATTAAAGGAAAATAGGAGGCATGATTGTGAAGAACGTTTTGGTGTTCTCAAATCATATTGTACCTAACCAAAGAGTATAGGAAAACACCTACATTGCTGGTTAATTGGACCTATTCCTGATATGTATCCTTTACTTACAAGCTTGTCATGTTTATATATGTATCGAGGCATGCCAACTTATTGTATGAGGGGCAAATTTTTGTTTAGATTTCGTTTCAAATCCAACTTCTAAAGTAGGGAATATCCAATTAATTGGTGGCCACTTAACACCAACAAGTGAACATGTCCTTGCACCTCGACCCATGAACAAGGGGTACTCATAGTTGTAGTAACACCAAAGTAATGGAGATTGATTCCTATTAAATTGGAAAAAAAAAAGTAGAACCAAGAATAGTTAAGAAGAAAACTAACATATCAGAGTTAGTAGTTTAGAAAAAAAAAACCAAGAATTAAATTCAGGGAAATATTAGTTATTATATCAAGCAAAATTGAAACTCAAACCAGCATAAATATTAGTTAAACAACTCAAGAAATTCAAGCTACATATAATGCAAATATTCAAAAGAAGACAGATTGAAAATGCAAATGCAAACCAATAAGATATGAAGAAAACAATTATAGAGCATTGGTAAACCTTATAATAATACATAACTATTCAATCATCTAAATGAAAGGAAATAAAGACAACTAACCAGGGGGACAATAATTGTAGATAGCCTCTAAGATGAAAATGCAGCAAAACCTCCCTAACGTAAACCTAAAAAGTAGATCTAGTAAATAACTAGGTGCCAAGAAGAGACCAGACAAACCACACTCTTAAGAGTATGCATCACTAGATACCCAACATCAAAAAATTAATCATGGTAAGATTTATTGCTAGGGACAAATAAAAGCCTGCCCCATGCAGCCATTGACACAACAAACTAAATATTGAAAATCAGTTTTCACCATTTCAAGATAATTAGGTTTCAGGTTTCAAAGAAAAACTGCAGAATCCATTTTCCAACACTTGACCAAATCAATTAAGAGTTTTTGAACACAGGTGCATCAATCACAAGGAAACCAAAGATGAAAAATGGAGAGTGAAGATCAACAGGCAGCTATACATGAAATTTTCAATTCATATACCAATATTTAGATGAATATGCTGGTCTAAAGTGGAACTGGAAGGCCCAACTTTTGTTATGTTTGCCTATTTCTTGAGGATATTGAAAAATAAACAAGGGGAACAGAGGGAAAGACTGATAATTTGGGAGTGTTATGTCAGTTCATATGTACATGTGCACAATACACCATAGTAATTCTTTCTCATTTAAATTTTTATGAGATAGCATTTTTCATGGGTAGGCATTATACATCAATTAGTACAATAGTTTACAACTTGGTCCCAAAGTTTGCTAGAATAGAAAGTTGAAGTCATTCAATATTCTAAATTAGCATGTTTATTGTATTACATACTACCACGGTCATATTGATCTAATCGAATGAATTAAGATAAACAATTTATCATGCTAAAAATATTTTGAGTCTTATAATTATATTTTCCCAACTTCTAGCAATCAATCAATCTAAAGAACAAATGGCACCTTAATTCTTATATAATTGACATTACTCCCTTGTCTACAAGGAAACTATGAGTGCCAATAATCACCTAGTTTTCTAAGATTTATTAGGAATGGATATCACTAATTTAATTTTCAATTTTTTCATAAAGAATTTGAAAAGCAAATACATAACTAGACACCTAATCAGCCGTAAAACAACCACAGGAACCTGAATTTTGATAAGTGTATATTTTGTGTGTTTTAAGTGTATTTTCTTATTTAGTTTTGGTATATTTTATTCACTTTTATAGCTAATTAACTAAGTTATAGTGATATTTGCATTTTGTGATTTAAGTATCAAAAACTGCATTTCTATGGATTTTAATGGTGAAAACTTCATATTTTTGTAGGTTTAA